ACACACACACACACACACACACACACACACACACACACACACCTTGTAGAACATTCTGTCAGCGAAACGCAGCAGCTCCCCGAAGAGGTTGAGCCAGCAGTGCAGGAAGGCGAAGAAACACAAGAGCAGCAGCATAATACCTGGGACACACAAACAGAGAGAGGGGGGGGGGGTGTTATTTGGTGCAGTGCTCCCAGCTGCCTCACAAGAACTATAACTTAACACTGACGCTTTTATATCAGCACTTACTCGAAAAGCTGTTCACGTAAAGAGGGTAGTAAACATGCCAGTCTTTAAGTTAAACTGTATCTGATTGCATAATTGCATCTTTAATCTCATCACTCTCATTTATATGTTCCAGGCGGGCAATGTAATCGTAGCTTCATGTAGTGGGTGTGTGTGCAGCTGATAGAGAATAAAGTACCTGGTAGTATTGAGTGGAAAACAGCCAGAACCATCGTCCGAGTGCTGAATGGCTGGTTGGTCTCGGGTCTGAAGACGGGCACGCAGAGGCGAACCAGAATGAAGTAGCCGTAAAACAGGCAGCCCAAGATCTGTGGATACAGATAATATTAATGTTGTAAACTAATGAAATACATATTTAGAGGATGCTCACTATTAGATCACTGAAGATCTATGTTATCATATCAAATATTAAAGCCGTTAACCATCTGTCGTTTCTGATCCCTTCATTTATATGAGCTACATCATCGTTTCTTTCCACAAACAGCTTCTCAGTAGGTTTAAATACATTTCTCTAAAATATGAAAATACATCACTGTGATGAACAGTCAGACTTTAGTCTTACCATGGCAAGAGTACTGCCCACATAGTTCCATCTGATGTGGTTGTTTCTGTGGAAGAAAGACAGGATGTCGCTTCTTCAGAAATAGACAGAGCGATACTGTAGATTCACATTTTGTCAGTTTATAATCATGTCATTTCTTGTTTTTATCTGCACAGAATGTGGAATTAGAAACACCAACATATTTTAAAGGTCGTTTGAAGCTCTCTCAGTTGTTACCATATAAAAAAATAAACACAACACCTAATAAAAGAAACAATATAATATAGAAATATACAGTGAAACCTAAATAAATCGCATTGATTCGAAATTCTACATAAATGAAGTAGAAAAAGTTGAAGAGTTGTGAGTTTGTGGTGCTGCTACATTTCATTTTTCATTTATATTTACACATGTTCATGAAATAATCAGCAAACGTGATCAATGTAGGGGGACAATGTAATACGTCTTACCGGGGGTATGATTCCCTGTAGATGAGAGTGGGACAGAAGAGGAAGTACAAATAGCTCGACAATGTCGGGAATATGGGATCTTCTCCTGAAAAATAAAGAGAGTTCAGTTCATGAGAAAATCAAACTAGAAGTGATTCAGTTCTGAGGCTTCAAGGACCTTGAATTATTAAATAGAGGATCTAAAAATAACTGATTTAAAGTCTGAGAGATAAGACGTTAAGCTCCTCATGTAATTTTTCTTCTTTCATTGTCTGGCCTGATATTATCATCTCCAGTTTTTGAATTCTAAAACTTTTCTGTGAACCTGCGAACAAATGACTGTCTTCAAAATGAAATGAGTCACTTTTAGTGCAGAATCGTTAAACAATCATACCAAAGGATCTGCACTAAAGTCTCTAATATATTCTCCTGATTGTTTGTTTTCAGTACTTCAGACTAGTTTGAGCCTCTTGCTAATAACGATGGCATTTAAAACTTGTTAAACACAGGTAAGATCAGAAAAAACTAAATCCCACCTCCTCCATGTTAGTGTATGGGACATGAACCAAACTAAAAAAAATCAAAGTACACGCTAAAATACTGTTCTATTCCATATAACGTGATTCAAACCCTGGTAGATTGTAGACGTAGCTATGATGTTTTTTTTCTGTTAGAGGTATTTTCCTGCAGTGAGTGACTCGCTTCACCTCCATGTTTCTTTATTTTGTCTTTCACCAACAGAACCTCATTGGGCCGCACACTCTCCAGGTTGTTTATGTGGATGCATTCATTGTTAGTTTTCACTTCAGCATGAATCATTGGTAACCTACTAAACTCTGCTTTAGTCATTTTTCTCTGGTGTCCACTTGTGTCACTGTGAGTAATGGTGCAGCCTGAGGAGTAAGTACACCTGACATCAATATAATACAGTACCTTCCTTTGGTGTATTCTTCATTATAACTGGAGCAGTTTCTCTTATGAAGGAGTAGCTCTTCATCAGGAATCGAATCTGAGGGAAACGGATAGAGATATAATATGAAGTGAGACATAATGCACCAGTAGTAACAGTGTCTGTCTTTATCGCATGAATGCACAAACTGTCTGATGACAACAACCCACATCTTTATGGCCTCAATTTCTTCCTTTGGATTTCAAACACATGATATATCTGAGTGTTCTCTGCTGCTGCAGGCGGAGAACTCAGGGAACCACTCACTCCTTCTGCGCAATTTAGTGAATTAAAATCCTTCATTTATGCATCAAATTAATTGACAGCTTCGGAATAGCGTCCACACTTGTCTGGATGGACCCGGGTCAGATGAGGATCAGTTCTGGGTTTCCCAAAAGCATCAGAGCACACGGGGATTATCTCACTCCATCGAATGGAGATAAAATGATCTTAGCACTAAGGCGGTTTTGGGAAGCCAGGCCCCGTGTAATAAAGAGGATGAGGAGGTATTACAGTATGGGTGTGTGATGTTCAAACGTTGGCAACACTGAGATCTGCATGCTGTCTCTGTGGCGTTCCAGCTGGACAGACGCCATCTCTGGCCAGCACGGGTTTCTTCTCACAATGTTCCTGTTGGTGGCAGGGCTGCGTTTATAACGTGCATCAACCATTAATATGATTTTAGGTCCAGAATATGTTATTTACTAGGTTTTATCATTATCCTCTGTTTCCACCTCTGTTTGTTTGTTTGTTGGATGGTTTGTTGTTTGATTTCACAAAAGCTACTGGAGGCATTTCCCTAAAACTTAGAGAAAAAAAGGCGGTATGGATAAGGGAAGAAGAAATTCAATTTTGCAAATAACTATATGTATTATCTTGGGTTCAGTTCAATTAGATTTTCCTTCTGAGCAGCAATTCACATTGCACTTGTATCATGCTGATCACATTTTAGGAGTTAAAGGTCCAGTATGAAAGATTTCATCGAAAGGGAAAATACTCCTAATGTTGTTTTCACTCGTGTTTAATCATCTAAGTTGCACAAATTGCTGTTTTATTTACCCTAGACTGGACTCTTTCTATTTAAATACTTATATATATTAACATCAGAGGTCCTCTCTAAGGAGGCTGCCATGTGTAGATAATGGATGAATGGATGGATGGATGGATCAACATTATGTTGCAGGGAGGGGAAGTGTGCCATATAAATGTAGTTGGACACTTGATTTGTCCTGAGTTGCTCTACGGGCTTCTCTACATCAAGTATAATCAATAAAAATGTCCAATCCTGCTACTGGTTTGATGCATCTATATAAACAAATCACATTTTTCATATTTTGAAACTCAGAAGAAATGAAATCTTGTTTCTCTGTAGTTGGGTTCATCACCATCATGTCGCCTGTTGTGTGACTGCACTAAAATATCTCTGTCTCCTCTGTGCGCGTCCATGAGTCACAGAAAATTACATTTACACCCACACTGTCTGCCAAGGGTCTCATAAAGGGTGAGTGTGAGGTAGTTTTGTCTGTTGACATGTTTACCGTTCTATTGACTTTGCCTCTTCAGGTTTTTCTGCTCTTGTTGCCTTGTTTATTCTATTTATACCTTTGACTCAAGTATTCAGTTTTCTGACACACACACACACACACACACACACACACACACACACACACACACACACACACACACACACACACACAGATTACTAGCTACCAGCTAAACATTACATTGTTCCTGTGAAAATTAAAGAATTGTAGCAGGCTGTGCCCTCATGGAAATGAAATAAATGTATCTGTGTTCTCCGACAGACGTTCTGCAATGTTGCTGCCATGTTTTCACACATAAACATACACTCGGTGTGTGTGATAAACACAAATTAGCCAATATTATCAACAATTCTGATGAATGTGGATGACATTTGCAGAAATTAGGGCCTGAAGCAGTGCAGCACCCCGTCTTTACAAATGTGACAGCAAAACAACTCAACTGAGGAACTAATTACTCACATGCTACGTGCTATTCACTTCAAAGATGTTTCTAAAACATACACACACAACCACACACACACACACACACACACACACACANACACACACACACACACACACACACACACACACACACACACACACACTGACCTGCTCCAGTATCACGATGAACCGCGAAGCTGGCGGCAGCTGGTTCTCTACGACTATGTAGATCGGGAACAGCCCCAGAACACAGGTCTGTGCGGCAGACATGATTAATCCTGTCCCCAGAGAAAGACCCAACTTGGAGGGGAACATGTGGTACAGGGATGCCCAAAACACCAGGGTGTAGTAGGGCAGGAGCAGGGTGTAGAGGAACATCACGACCCAGGCCTGGATGACTGTACCCAGCTTCCCGAAGGCGTAGAAAAGCAGGTCAAACTCCAAGACCAACCTGGGGTTCGGGAGAAAGGGGAGGTGAGCTAGAGGAAAACATTATATAGAAAACATAGAAACAGTCAATCCATAAAAACAAGCAAATCATTATTTCAGTGAGATGTTTAAATACTGATACTGAACATTGTTCTTGAGGAAATCGAGTGTCCGGTAACAGTTTTACCTTCAAACTGGGCTTTGAATGACCAATTAAATGATATGAAGATGTTTAAAAAATGCAAAAGCACCATTCAAGGCTTTTAACATTTCCCCATCACTGTCTCCCTTGTGACAAGACCCCTCCGGTGATGATAATAACAGATTTAAAATACCCACCCACTGCAGCATGTCAGAGGATTTGCTTAAAATTGTGCTTGTTGCAAATGAAATATTATTTCTTATTTCATCAGTTTACCCCATATTAAAAAACAATGTTAACTGAAGGGTGAATGTATTGAACAGAATCTCCCAGCAGAGCTTATTGTTCCAGTGAGAAAGACAATTATTAATCTCACAATCCTGCGTCTGTGAGCATCAAACCAAATTCGTCACAGCGCCGCCCAAAGCTGCAGCAGCAGAAATACTCAGAGGGATTGATTTTACAATCTTTCTGAGGCCGTGATGAGCAGAGGGGCTGGATGAGGGGACAGAGGGAGGGAGGGAGGGGAAGATGATAAGAAGTGAAGGAGAAGTTTTTAAAAGCTTCAGGTTGATTGAGTCTGCAGTAGATTTGGTCCAGGGTCGTAGAGTTTTGGGATGATGTGACACACCTGCCCTGGTCGATGAAGTCGACAGCCAGCGTGCTCAGGCAGAAGATGAGGAGCACGGCTATGAACATGTGGTAGATGGTCCTGATGTGAGTGATCTCAAACAGTTCACTGATGGAGAGGAGGAAAGCACAGACAGCAGTATTTCATTAAAATCACATTATGCCAAATTTATGTGCATATTTATATACAGTGTATGCATCATATATTTCCCTCATTAGGAGGATGTAAGGTTGTTTACGGTTTCTTTATGTAAAATCTGTTTGTATGTTTATGTTTTCACCCCTTTCCATGAAACGTGGTGGAGGGATGTGGTATTGGTCAAGAAAGAGCATATTAAATGTTGGTGTAGATCTGGATCAAAGGGAGATATATTCTATTTTCATTGATTTCTCAGAGAATAATTCATGGATCTTGATGTGAAAATTGGACGACTGATATGACAGTGTTGCAATTTGGTGCCGATCCAAATAAGAATCTGGATCAATCCAAATGTGGTTTCATAAGAGGACTGTTGGACCTTGGCAGAGGTTTGGACTCTACTAAGTGGTGTTCTCTCACATTGATTGAACCAAATGATTGCCCAAGTAAACAACTGATATATTGTTACTTCACACTGGCCTGCACCCTGCTGTGTTTGCATACTGAATAGGAAATCAACCATCAGCCTTTTATACTTACTCCAGCAGTGATGGCCTGTCTATAAACACTTTGCCATCATCCATTTTCTGAGACCTGAAACAAAACCAAGAGGAAAATGGTTTACAGCCATTGAAATGATATACATCTACCAGACCAATGAGAAATCCTGTGTGTTGCTGCTTCTCACCTCACTGAGGGCTTTTTTGTCGTCTTGCCATTAATGGTCGGCTGGATGTGGGTGAAAGGCTGAACGGACTCAGTCAGAGCTTCGTCTAGAATATCACTGAGCTGATCCTGGATCTGTTCCAGCACTCTTACCTTCACCTTCTGCAGGATGAAGAACAGGAGACAGTTTTGTTTTTTCCTTTAACCACATTGCACATTATGCTGCTTTCAGTTTGCTCTGCACAGCCTGAACATGTCTATTTTAATATTTAAGAAATCCAGTAAACCTTTGCATGTTCTTGCCACTGTCTCAGCTCGTCCTCCTGCACGTTACCAGGGTTCCCAACTGCAGAGAGAACGAACACATATTCACACATATCCAACTTGAAATCTATTTCAGTCTGTGAGTAATTACACACACATTTGGCAAACAGACAACAAAATCTTAATCATACCGTGATTGGAGGGCTCGTCTGATGGGCGGGCCTTATTGTTTCGGTGGTACAGTCCCTTGGGTGGCTCTGCAGTCGTCATGGTTACCACTGGAGCGAGCCACAACACACAGGAATGTGCGCTGGGACAATATGTGGAGGAACCTGTGCATGCAAAAATTGCAGGTTAGTGTCACATGCAATAAAGGTTTGATGAGGTTCATATTTGATTAAGACGTATTTGTATTTTCCTGTTTTTTGGTCCATTAAAGATGTGGAAAACTTCACCTTTGACCTTAATCATAAAACTTCTGATCCATATGAAGTTCTGGGTTAAACGTCCTGGTTATAATCTGAAGTAAATTTGATCACTTCCTCACCAAGTGATTAAAAAGTGTGTTTGACATTTAAATGCTGTGACATGACTGAACTAAGGTTCAACATGTGATTGATGTGATTTTATGTTTTAACACGTGATTCACTGATATTTACTCTTTGTTGAGGTCTGACGATTTCGAGCGAGGATTTAACGATAGAGCAAGAGATTAAATCAGCTCACAGGCCTGTGTTGCTGGCAGCTTGCCTCATGCTAAAGAATTAATATTCCTGACGAGCATCGGAGCCCAGGAGCTGAGCTCATACTCGTGTGAATCCAAAACACGCTGAAACTCCAGGTTATGAACGCAGAAGCATTCTCTATGTCAGGGGCTTTGAACTGTGGTAACCTCCAGTGGTTTTCCACCACAGGGGCGATATCACTAGTCACTTTAGGTCAAGCTAAACAATGTAAACAGATTATAAAGTGGCTGTACCTGCCTTCAGTGGGAGTTCACACACTGTAGATAAGATACACAGACAGAGGGATTGTGTGACACACTCTTCCAGGGAGAAGACCCAGAGTGACCTCATTTTCTAATCCATGCTGTTTGATCGCTTCTCAGGACCAATCTCAACATGACAGATAAGCTTTGCACAGATATGCAGATAATACATTGTTTGGCTCAGGCTGATGTGAAGGGAGAGAAGGAGATGAAGAAGAATATCTTTCTGAAGAGTTATGCAACAATCCTCTGCAGAGTTAGGTTGAGGGTAAGGAATATCGTGCATGGTGATGTTTGAGAAAACACTCTTTCTGGTTGACTTACTTGAGTGGTATTAAATTTCCTCTCGCTTTCTTTAAAATAGAATAATGCAAGTTAGAAGGAATAAACTGATTTCAAGAACAAATCAAAGTAATTACGAAATGATCTTATATTTTATGACACATCACATACAATATCATTTGATATGATACAATTGGAAATAATACGATACAATACAACTCAACGCGATATGATACATGATATTTGATACGATATAAACAAGATACTTTATTAATCCCTCACAGCACAAGATAAGTGCAAACCACAGCAGAGGTCGACTGAGGTTACAATAGAATTATTAAAATTAATGAAGTTGATAACGTTTAACCGTTGACTTAAATTTAACGTTTGACTCATAAAAAACATTTGTTGGAAGGGAGAATACAGTAAACATTCGAGGAACATTTTAAAGAAAGTGGTTTATAATCTCATCAGAGGAACAGAGTCAATCTTATATTAACATACTGAACGTCAACTGATTCAATCACGTTTCCTTTAGAACACACAGTTTTAAAGATCAGAAAAACTTGTGACGCTCTCTATTTTATCGAAACAGTTACACGACTAATTCATTTTTGTTTCATGGCTTCTCGTTTTTATTTTAGCTGCTTAAACTTACAGAAAAAACTGAGATTGAGGATTTTCTACAAAACTGCACAAATCTGTTCCATACCAGGAAGTGTGTACTTTAAATCCTGGAAGTGACAGATGTCAGACACAGACAGAGTGGGGCAGACGTGACGTTCATGATAAACATTGTCGGTTTGTACTCACTCTGTCTTCTCGCCTCAGGCTCAGTCAGCGGTCCACAGGGTGAGAAGCTCTGCTTCAGTCAGTGATTCCCGCTGAGAGATCTGCTGGAGTGTGTTTCAGTGAGTCTGTGTCACAGTTCCTCTGATTAGTGTCCTCGTCTCTCCTCAGCTACTACTTTGAACTTTGTCCTCTTGGCTTCTAGCACCAGACACGATGGGTTCTCAGCTCTATAAACCCCACTTACCCGCTCCTAGTATTTCAAATTATAATTTTTATCTTCATTTGAGTGTCTGACCGAGCTGTACGTGCAGAGTTTGATGCTATTAGACTGTTTCCACATTCATCTGCAGAAGAGGAAAAGTGTCTCTGTTGACATTTGTGACGAACAAAAATTATTTTACGGCCTCACAACTCCATTAAGAAAAGCCTCATGTTGAACTCCAGACATTCTGTGCTCAGTGAAGGAGACATCTTGTGTCCAGCAGTTAGTAGATTTAAAGATTCTAAAAGAAAAATATTACTTGTTTGAGAATTTGTTAAAAAAAATTTGCACTTATTTTTTTTTAGAACAAACACATCACTCACAAATGGTTATTCAACATTAAGCTATGTGACTTAAAACATGTCCAGAGAGTAAAGTTACAGAAACGTACCTGAAAAACAGCTGATATACTGTAGAGTTTATTTATATAGTTTATAATACAGGCACATTTGTGCTGACACTTTTTATTCTTTCTATTTCTTCTTATGAAAACATTTTTTAATATTCTTTTTCATATTCCTCTTAATATTCTTCTTGGTAAATAATTGATTTGTGGGCTTCACATTATTGTGGGTGGGAGAAAAATAAACATCCAACAGTGGGACAGTGACATTCAGCCAAAACAAATCAATAAGTAGAGCAGAGTTCTTTGCCTCTGACAAAAGATACCAAAGAGAGTTCACCTTCACTTGTTGACTTTATTTTGACTGGTTACAAACTGTGCACGAGTTCTTTTGATCATTTTTATGCTGAAATGAAGCCAGAATATCATGGATACCAGGGATGAAGCCTGTCATGGCCATAAAGATATTATATAGATCATCTAGAGATAATATATAGATCATAAAGAGATAATATAGAGATAATATATAGATCACATGAAGATCAGAGTCCAGGTCCCAGGTTCCCCAGCTCATCAGGAGCAATAGGAAGCACCTGAGCTCCCTGAGGCTGGGAGGGTTTATAAGGAGGTCTTTGTTCAGTTGCTTGTTTGCTGTCAGTGGATCAACACCTTCAGTTGATTCTCTGACTTTGTGTTGTTGGTTTTGTGTTGTTGGTTTTGTGTTTTTGGTTTTGTGTTTTTGGTTTTGCGTTGTTGGTTTTGCTTGTTTGAAGAATTTGTTGTTTGCCTGTTTTTCTTTACACCATCTCTTTCTCTGTGACTCTCACTATCTTTTGGTTCTGTTTTATAGTTTCAGTGGTGGACGGTTGGGAGCCATAATCCCACCGTTAACTTTTAGGACCCAATTTGTTAGTTTTGTTGCAGTGATTTGTTAGTTTCCCAAAAAATATGTACCAGGTTTTGTTTTTCTTTGGGGGGGGGGGCATAATAAGTGAATGAAATAAACCTGTATTTAGTTTGTCGCTCTACAAACAGAATTTAGTTTGGAGTCATTTATAGAGAATCTGACATGGGAAGCACTGAACTCATGTAAAAATGCAGACCTCATGCAAATTGCTCTCCAGTTTGACATTACTGTGGCATGGTGTCAAAAAAGATGCACTAAAACAGGCTGTAGTCACTGGTTGATGGATAAACAAATCCTTGTTGGTGATTCTTAGGCTAAATCAGAAAGTGTCAGTGAAGAGATTGATACTGATACATTTACTTGTGTTTGTAAAAATAGTGAATTTATTTTCTATTTATTTAATCTATTTTACATCAACAAATCTGTTGTACAGTATTTGTCTTTTAAAGGGGGAGGTGCTATGGCCATAAAGATCACATGATGATCAGAGTCCAGGTCCCAGGTTCCCCAGCTCATCAGGAGCAATAGGAAGCACCTGAGCTCCCTGAGGCTGGGAGGGTTTATAAGGAGGTCCTTGTTCAGTTGCTTGTTTGCTGTCAGTGGATCAACACCTTCAGTTGATTCTCTGACTTTGTGTTGTTTGTGTTGTGTTGTTGGTTTTGCTTGTTTGAAGAATTTGTTGTATGCCCATTGTTATTTACACCCCCTCTTTCTCTGTGACTCTTTTGGTGGGTGACTGTTGGGAACTATATTCCCACCGTTATCTTTTAGAAGCCATTTTGTTTGGTAGCAGTGTTTAGTGTCTTGTTAGGGAGACTATGTACCAAGTTTTGTTTTTCTTGGGGGGGGGGACGTAACAAGCCTTGGTATCGAGGTCCCGCCTATGCATGCCCTCAACCAATTGCTAATCAGTCTCAGCTGTCAATCATGTTTCACCCCATTTAAACATTTACTTTCTGTATTTCAATTACATATTAGAGTTCCATGAAACTTGTTAACATAAGTTCAATGTAAATGTTTTCTAGCATGTTGAGTTACAGTGACTAAATCAAATAACTTGAGAGG